TTCATTGTTGCAAACTGTTGTAGAAATGAGTACAAGGACTACGCTGAAGTCTGCTTCAAAGAGTTTGGTGATCGAGTAAAACACTGATAACGTTCAATGAACCGACACAATTCTGCTCATTTGGGTATGCATCTGGCGTGTTTGCACCAGGCCGGTGCTCGCCGTGGGAGCAGGGCAAGTGCAACACTGGGGATTCAGGAAGGGAACCTTACACTGTATGTCATCATCGGCTGCTCGCCCATGCAGAAGCAGTTCACCTGTACAAAGAGAAGTACCAGGTCAGAGATGAACTTACTCCTGGTGCAGTTACAATTACTGAATGATGAAGAACTGATTGGCACTGTGCATTTGAGCTTGATAAATCAATATAATAGTTAATTCCCAATTCAATCTCATGTATGAATGCAATGCATTAAGAATGTAACTGCACAAGAATGTTAAGAAGAATATGTCATGCATGTTTGCCAAAAGGATCTCAATTTGACCATGATTTGGATTCATTGCTCACACTTGCTTGCAGGCTGTCCAAAGAGGGAAAATCGGAGTCACTTTAAACTCCCAATGGTTTATCCCTTTCTCCCCGTCCAAATCCAATGATGATGCAGTGAGACGTGCCTTAGATTTCATGCTTGGATGGTAAATTCTCTGTGAGGCTGTGATCCTAACATCTTTGTCGTTGAAGTGCAGAAAATTATGGACGAAACGACATAAATCTTACTGACCATATTAATCCTATCCCAGGTTTATGGACCCACTTGTTGGAGGTGACTATCCGGTCAACATGAGAAGATTGGTGTGAAATCGCTAGCCAAGATTCACAAAAGAACAATCTAAGTTAGTCAAGGGTGCATTTGATTTCATCGGACTCAACTACTACACCACATACTATTCTGAAAGCCTTCCTCCATCAAATGGCCTCAATAGTAGTTATAACACTGATTATTTAGCTAATGTTTCCGGTGAGTAACCAAGACAAGTTTTTCCCCTAAATTCGTGCAAGATTGTTCTAGAAAAACTCTATACAACAATAGCTCCTATTTTAATGGCAGTACTGTGTAGTATTTGTGAAAGCATGATGCTATAAAAACTGCAACCTCCATTCCCTTAATTGAGTCATCGGTACATTGAATCATTCTTAATCAATATTTTGGAATCAGTTTATTTTGAACAATAATTATTTCTATTATATTTTTCTGACTTTATGATTATATTAGGTATTCGAAATGGTGTCCCCATTGGTCCTCAGGTAACTTAGTATTCCCAACTTAAGACAGAAATGTTACTGATTACCCGCCCACTTTCTATGTGATGATTTATTTGCATATAACCAACATATATGTAAGCTGCTTCTACTTGGCTCTTCATGTACCCTCAAGGCTTTCATGAGCTTCTACTTTATATTAAGGAAAACTATGGCAACCCTGCCATCTACATTACTGAAAATGGTAACTCCTGAACAAGAACTATTATCTTTACTAGTCTATCAAAGTGTGCTCTTGCTCGAGCTAGAATCTTAGGTGACCGAAGTATTATATGCTCATGGATAAATTTAGTATCTAAAATAGACACAAAATGCTTATAATATAATTGTACTTGGTAAATATATCACAGTTGGATGGAGATTACATATTATATCTATATAATATGACATTTTTTAGAAAATTATATAGAGGGCGAGAAGATAAGCACACAATTATTAGTAAAATGAACTCAAAGTAACTCATTATTTCAGGAGAAAATTCTAAGTTATCCTCTCTCTCTCTCTCTCTCTATCTCTCTCTCTCCCTACAAAAGAATGCCATATAGATACAAAATGTTTATCAAACAACTAATACAAAATGCCTATATATGTATATATGCTTACTTTGAATTAGTTGTTTGTATACATTAGTAGTGATAAAAATGGAAAATGTTAAAATACATATATAGTCATACCTTATGGTGAATTTATTTCTTATAATATTAGAAGTTTGTAATTTTAGACGTAGCTAGGTTCGAGATAATATTTTAGTTTATTTTTATTAATGACCGGGGAGTGTAATTTATATGTAAACTTTAAGGATTACTTATATTATCTAATACAGCAATAGAGCTGAGTAATTTAGACACAAATTTATGAGTTAATTTTAGATTATATTTCCTAATTACTTATATGGGTAATTTAGATGCATGTTTGGCTTATTCATTTTATTTATCATAATGGAATATGTGGGTAGTTTTTTTTTTTGAAAAACGGTCCAATGGCTATTATTGCCATGGAAGATTAAAGTCTGGCAAATTGATGACATGATGTTTCTTATTCATGTGAGAATTTTAGAATTTTTCTTTATATTCTGACATGTCTCATTAGGATTAACATGTAAGAGAGTGCAAAACAATGTTATACAGTGCCATCTATTTATTTTGCAATGGATTCAATATATTGTTGTACTACCTTTATTCTTGTTCCTTGTCTTTTTAATTTGGGTATTGATATGGTCTTTTCAAAGAATGCATGTCAAGAAAAATAAAGTATATAATCATCTCAGACTATTTTCTTTTTTTAGATAATATCTCAGTCCATTTTCTAAAAAATAAGAATAAACTAGAACCTTAAAGGAGGCTGGGAATGACGGGAGTGGCAAACCTTCATTTTTGTGTACATATGTGGCAACCGGCAAACCTTCATTTTTGTGTATATATATGAGTGGTCAAATTTTTGTCTAAATTTAACTATGAGCATTCCTTAAAGGACATCTATTTGGGAACGACGGGAGTATGACTTCGAATTTTCTCCTGAAATGAGCTATTTTTAATTAAAAAAAAGTTATTTTCCTCACCTAGAAGAAAAAAAAAGCTAGATTGAAACAATATGAAAACATCTTTTACTTCAATACAGGCTTTGATGAAGCCAACAACATGAGCTTACCACTCCAAGAAGCCTTGAAGGACGATACCCGGATAGAGTATCACCACAAGCATCTCCTTGCCCTGCTAAGTGCTATAAGGTCAGATATCTCTAGCTAGCTGACACAACACACCCCAGTTGATGACACCTGACAGCATTACGTTTGACTTCTTCAATTCACAGGGACGGAGCAAACGTGAATGCTACTTCGCATGGTCCCTGTTGGACAACTTCGAGTGGGTGAACGGCTACACGGTCCGATTCGGGCTAAACTTCGTGGACTACAATGATGGGTTGAAGCGGTACCCTAAGAATTCAGCCCATTGGTTTAAGGAGTTCCTGCATAAATGAACATGGACTTGGCACTAGCACATAATTACATGGGGAAAAAACTTACGTGTTTTTTGTTGCACGTGGATTGCGCTAGCTACATTTAGAAGAGGTCATTGATCAACGATGACAACATGCTTTTCATTCAAAACTTAGTATTGGAGGCCTTCATGTGCATTTTGTTTTTGTTTCTTTGAGATTTGTCCATCTCAAAGGCTTGGGGATGTCTTGTAGCCTGTTGAGATGTGTCTGCCGTTGATACAAGACTTTATGTTCTGTTTTCCCCTTATTTCAGTACAAGGCACAAGTCCTGCTATTTCTTAAAAAAAAAAACTCTAAGTCCTTGTCCATATAGAAACGGTGTGGCGTGAGAGAGATATCTCATGTATCTCAAGCAAACGGGCCCTCATTGGAATATATCTAAGGTTAAAAACGGTGTGGCGTGAGAGAGATATCTCATAATTGACTGGAGCTGCAGGAACTGTAGTATGTACACATCCGATGGCATCAGCCACCAGTGGAGCTGATGAGGGCACACAAGTTGTAAGAACGTAGTAGTCTCCATCGCCGCCCGGATAGGATGGAGCACGCGCGCGAGAACCGGCCGATCGACTGGCTGGTATGCAACGGCAACTCATCGATCCATTCATCCATCCCCATGTGGTCCTGACCAGAATCGCGTGATCCGTCGGCATCAAATCCATCCTTTTCAACCAAAGGCATGGCATAATTTTCAATCAGACAGCGAGCTTTGAAGTAACCTGTAAGGCATATGAGTATGCACACATCCAACAGCTGAATGAAGCAACCCAAGCAATTAAAGCTCTGCTACTGCGCAACTGATCTTCTGTTTACTCAACAAAAAACTAACTGATCTTCTGTTCACATCATTTTTGTGTGTGTGTGTGTATCCTGCAGTGCAGTCTACTCAAACTTGGACATCCATCATATACGCAGCTATATACACCCAATATAAACATAGACAGAAGACGGCCAGCGCAAGATGTCGACGACGACGATGTCTTTGCTGTCGTCGATCGAGCGGTCCCAATCATGCCACGCCGCGGCGTTGCCGGCAAACGGAGCAAAGGGACAAGCGACATGTGGCCATGCGTGGTCAGCTCCCGGCGCGCGCAGGGCCCCGTCGGCCCCGACCGACGCAACTGTTCCCAGTTTGGAGCCGCTTGCCGGCGGGGCCTGCATGCGGCGACGCCGACCGCCGGATGGGGACGGCCGGACTCTCCGATCGGATCCCCCCGCCCGGCCCGCCGCCTGGCGATATGATGAGAACTAGCAGCAGCCTCTTGGGAACCCTCGGTTACCCTGAGTAGAGCTCGTTGTTGTTGTTTTGATTGTGTTTGTCTATTCTCTCTTAACGAAATACGTGCTAAGGCACGTTCATGGAAAAAAGTGCAAATGCCCTTCACTTTAAGTGCAAGCTGGATGACTTAGAAGGTGTCGAATGAGACAAGCAGGCTGGATGACTAAGAAGACGTTTAATATAATGAGACAAGCAGGCTGGACTTACGGCTATCAGAATATAGTTTGCTGCACGAGTGCATGTAAAGCATCCATCCAATTGGATCTAACCCAAGGTTTCATCAAACAATGACTCAGAAATCCTGGATCTAACGGTCTAACCCCGGGTTATCTTCAACTTCAAGACCACTCGTCAACAACTTCACTGCTAGCTAGAGTTGACCTCATCGCCTACATATCCCACTCATGCATCGCCGTGCACATGATCGCACAAGTAGCAATGACAAATATTAGAAAGTGCGCCATGGGTAGCCACACAACAGCTCTTCTCCTCCTGTGTTTCCAGCTGATCACCACGTCGCTGTCTCAATCTCAGCTGTCCAGTCAAGACCTCCCGGCTCTTATCAAGATCAGGGAGCAGTTCAGCAACCCGGACGCGCTCGCGGGATGGCGGACCGGCACGCTCTGCTGGGGGTGGTGGCCCGCGGCCTGCAACGAGCAGGGCCGCGTCACCAAGCTCTTCCTCGAGCGACTCAACATCACGTCCGCGCTCCCGCCGGCCATCAGCGAGCTCGACCAGCTGGAGACGCTCAGCATCGTCGAGATGCCGGGCCTGCACGGCCCCATCCCGGACTCCTTCTGCAACCTGTCGCACCTCTCCATCTTCAACCTCATGGTCACCTCGGTGTCTGGCCCCATCCCGGCGTGCCTCTCCCGCACCAACCTCTCCTCCGTCAGCTTCTTCCGCAGCAAGCTCAACGGAACAATCCCCAGGTCGCTGTGGAAGCTCCCGTTCTTTACCTACTTCGACGCCGCCTACAACAACTTGGTCGGGCCCATCCCGCCGCTGCTGGTGCACGGCGGCAAGCCCGACCGGCCGTTGGGCCTGATGCTGGACGGCAACCGGCTCAGCGGACCTATCCCCTGGACTTTCGCGCTCGAGAGGCACATGATCCAGTTCAGGGTGGCCAACAACAAGCTCACCGGCGACCCGTCGTTCCTCTTCGGGCGGCGCAAGACGGTGACCGGCACTATCGACCTGTCCGGGAACAATTTTCGGTTCAACCTCACCGGCGTGGAGATGCCGATGCAGTTGTCTTTCCTAAACCTCAGCCACAACCGGATCTATGGCGGCGTGCCGGCGTCGCTCCGGGACACCAGGGTGTCGATTCTGGATTAATATTATGAGAGATCTTTATATAATAAAGATGAGATATTTCTTTTTAGAGGGCTCTGTGGGTAATAAGGGCAAAATTTGGCTTATTCTGAGTATTTCATGTCGAACTTAATAAATGGATGAATGATCATTTAGATGGAGGCCTCACCACCTGGTCTCATTCTCTTCACGATCCATGTATCTCCTTCAGGCTATAACGACCTCTGCGGGGAGATACCTACCGGCGGGCACATGGTGCAGTTCAAGGCGGTGGCGTACGAGCACAACAAGTGCCTGTGTGGGACACCATTGCCGCCCTGCACGAACGGCCTCTGAGACTGAGATGAAGTTGTCCCTTCTATCATGTGGGCTGTGGCCTGTGGCCTGTGGATTAACATGCATTAGAGGCTAAGATAAATAGATAATGTTAATCCCATCAATAAAATAGTACTATTTTATTTTGAATTGTTTTTTTAGCAACATTTTATTTTGAGTTGTTGGTCAAAGCTGTGTCATTCATAACGAAGTTCATGTCGGGGCAATCCCAATAGGTTTGGCCCAATCTTCGTCATAGTGTTCGAAGCCCAGAAAGTTTTTGGCCCAAATAATGAGAAAGTGGTGGCGTGGTTATTTTTATTTTAGCATAAAAAACACTAGTATATAAAAAAGAACATGTCTCAAACTAATTTTCAGAATCTAGCACGTTTAATCATGCAGGAGGTCATGATGCAACTGATAACCTCAATCACACGTACAATATGCACAAGCATGACTAACTAGACATTTTTTTTTGGCACATCGAGACAACACATTTCACGTAAGCCGCTAGCACATTAAGATCGCTTTCCACGTAAGCTACCAACATTGTACGGCCAAATGGTTAGTGTGACTAAGCAGGTTGAATCACACCACCACCTATGGCGTGACACATATTTGTGTCATTCATTAGTTGTTAGATGTTTTGATTTTTTTAGTTATTTTTTGTCCATCCAAAACAAAGCACATATACATCTTTAAAATCCTTCAAAATTTTTAAGTACATGCTAGAAAATAAGCATGAACCATTTTGCTTGTATCTAGCATTCTACCTCTTGTAGTTTTAAAATTAAATTTTCCCGTAATGTTATATTTGAGTCTTAGGTTAACCGGTTTAGCCTCAAAATAGACTCCAAAAATCTAGGGAAAAATATTAAATTCATGGTTCAGAAAGTAGTGTTTTGTCATGTAATTTCTCAGCATACTTGTTTAGGTGAAAAATGAAGTTCCTTAACAAAGCTTATGCTCAAAATTAAGTATTTATTTGAAACTAAATTTAAAAATATTTGAAACAAACCTTGGTAGACTTTGTCATGGTACGCGTAGCCACCGATTATTTCACTTGCCACAAAAATATCCAAACATCATAATTAGAAAACGAGGTGCCTTTCGTCTACTAAGCTTGTGATTGTCACCACTTAAATACGTCTTAGTTATATTATAAGGTAACTGAATTCATTGTGTGGCTTTGATCTTTATTGGACAATGCCATCGCGTGGACATGGCCCAGCTCCTACTTGATCTATGCCAGAATGGTTTGTGTATGTCATCACATTGCAAAGATACAAGGCTTAAGCGCTGACTGTTGGTAAGCTGTTGCATGCATGGTGCGGGCGGTGTTGAACTGTAGAGCTCAACTTCGTGCATGGCCAATCATGTTCCTCGATGATTTTCTCTCAGTTTTCAAACACGACTTATCAAATTCTGTTAGCCTTACTAAGGTTTGAAGTTGGTGTATTAGTCTACAAACTTAAATTAAGCACTCAACTCCCAAACTCCCTACTTCACAATATCTCATTTAATAAACTTTGATCAAAGTTATGGATCAATTGTTCATGTTTAGAGTTAATTACCATTGTTTTAGTTAGCTTTGGTTAATCAGAAGACTGCTAAGACTTATAACCGTTAAAGATCTAAACTTAGGCCAAATGATGACATATCACATTACCTTCAATAATTTGGCTCTAAACTTATGACAATTTTATATACAAACTTACTTTTTTATTAAACCCTGAATACCATCTGTTAACCCTTTGTATTGATTATATCTAGTACCCAAATCATTAATTTTTGTGTATCTTAGCTACTTAAAAGAATTACCATATATATCTTTCTTGTCAATAGGAGCTACCCTGGATTAAAGATCTTAGTTATGCTCCAACTTTGATTGCATGTTTTGGTAAGACACTTAGACATATTGTTTTTAAAACTGGCTATAAACATTGATATAGCTAATGTTGTTTTCCAAACTTGGAATACCTTGGTGGTAGACTAAGGCTTTAAATTTAAACTGTTTTTACTCTACATTTTCAAATTGACTTCATACTATGACGAAGTATATCACTTGTACTACAATTTGCATGTTATCACTTTGGAAAGTGCTTATGTGAAAATCAATTTCCCAGATTTGTTTTGAATGCTTGTAAATTTAGTTTTACATTAAGACTTAATTTTAAGCATGTGCTTTATGAAACTTTGGGTTTCGCTAGAACACATGCACTAGGAAACTACATGAAAAAATTCTACTTCATGAACCATGAATTATTTTATATATGAATTTTTAGAGCCCATTTTGGTCCTAAATATAGTATTATGGGAACAATTTTAATTTCAAAACTACAAGAGTTATGATGCCACATACAAGTAAAATGGGTTGTGCTTATTTTCTAGCATCTACTTGATAATTTTGAAGAATTTTAGAGATACATAGATCCTTCGTTTTAGACTAAACAAACTAAAAAAGAATCAAGACACCTATCAACTAATGGACGAATTTACATAGATCCTTTGTTTTCCGCAATGGCCAATTTTGGCTCAAGTTGAATGACTGCGTTCGAGGGATTCCTCTTCTGCTTATCCACCGCAAGTCGCAACACGTGGTCGTTCGCTGTTCGCGTGCATTTTCAACTCTACAGTTCCTTCTCACCAGTTACCAGATCCTATATGGCGACTTTGTTTAGCACGCTCAGACCCCAGCAATGCAAACGTGCAAGGCGCTTGCTATCTTACGTTTCCTCCGAAGACAATTCAGAAACCCACGAGCCAACTAGTCAGAAACGTTCTTGTCAGCCGCTAGCACACGTTTCGGTTTCTCTTCAACTGCACATTTCTGTCCAACTGGGGCTCTAAGGGTCCACCGATAAAGATCAGAAGTTAGAAAGGTCCATGTATGTCCCTGCTGTCATGCACATCAGCTCGTGCCCGGTGACGGTGAATGGTGATCACCATCACCAGCCGCGAGAAAAAAACACATCAGTCACGTTCCGTGTCCCTGCTATATATAGTAGGGGGCGTTGGGATGCGGAGTGAGGCCTGTCGCAGACTCATACCAAAGCTAAACGGGCCGATTGCATGGTGCCACACCAGCTCCCAAAAGGAGGTAGCACTAGCAGTGCTGCGATGCTTGCTCGTCTTCTCCCGCTGCTCCTCCTTGCTCTTGCTTCCAACGCTTACGATGGCGCTGCTGGGCAGCCGCCGATCAGCAGGAGGAGCTTCCCTGAGGGGTTCATCTTCGGGACGGCCTCGTCGGCCTATCAGGTAGTGACAGTGTTCTGATCTCTGTGTCATGCACACGTGCGTTCCGTCAGGGTCAAGGGTCAGGGCCATATGATCGTTTAATATGATAATAAGCTCCCTTTCAGCACCACTAGTTGGCAAGCAGCAGTGCAGTGCAGCACCACTAGTTGAGTAGTTGGCAAGCGGCATCACTAGTTGGCAAGCGCAAGAAACAGTCAATAGCTTCTACTGAAACTGGTCTGGTCTACAGAGATCTGTCGATGACGATCTGGGTGCTCCAAGTAGACAAGTAGTCATTGGTTTTGCCATGATCCTTACAAGTTGGCCTGATCATGATATTCATGTGTGCAGTACGAGGGTGGTGCGATGGAGGGGGGCAGAGGGCCCAGCATCTGGGACACCTTCACTCATCAGCACCCAGGCATGTATACACACACCTCTATTCGTTTAGATTTGTGATTCCATGCTTCATATTGAAATGTGTAATAAATGACATATCTTCCTCTAGGATGTAAAGTTATTTATTCTACACAAATCTGGGTGCTGGTTAGTGGTTAGCGGTAAGCTTGACATAGTAATAAGTAGCATTGTATAGCGGATAGCGAAACCAAGATAACGTCGCTATTGCACTTGGTGTGTATTATCGTGGGCTGCGATTGCTGTTATTAGACCGCTCGCTATGCTAAGGGTTCAAGTAACAATATGTGGATGGTGTACCCATGCTAGTAACAAGAATGTTGATGACGATGATTTGGGTGATGATAAAGGCCATGTTTGGTTGGGTTGTGGCTTTTAAAAAAGCTGCTATAAGCTGTGGCTTTTGAAAAAGTAGCTGTGAGAAAGTCAAAAGCCGCGCTCACCACCGGAGCTCAAGGAGCTGCGCTGGCCGTCGGGGATCGAGGAGGAGTGCCGCTAGAGCCGGAGGAGGAGCAGGCGGCAGCGTAGCGGGGCACCAGTGACGTCGCTGGTCGGCACAGACGGGGAGGAGTCGTGAAGTTGACGACGACGAGATGTCGCGGACGGGAAAGAAAGGGGAAAGAACAAACTTGTACCCATCATAACTAGTGAAAGGTGGGTAAATATTTGGTCCAAAAGCAGTTGAAAGCAGAGGAGACTTGCTTTCAGTTTTGTACTAGAGCAAAAGCTGCTTTTGGGCAAAAGCAGTTGTAGCTTTTGAGACCTTTGGTTGGCTTTTGACTTTGAAGCTGGTTGAAATCCCAACCAAACAGGGCCAAAGAATGATGGGACGAGCAATCATATTCTTTTCATCAGAGCTTGATATTAACTTGTTTACGCGTGTCTTCTTTATATCTTGTATATTTATGCTTCTTTATGGTTTTCATACCATAAAATGTAGTAATTAATTAAAGCTTCTAATTATATTAAGAAAATATCAAGGTACTCCTAAATTATTATGAATCGTCGATCTAGATGGCAAATATCATATATTACCTCCTAGTAGGTAATAAGGTAAATATATATTTATATATTTTAAAAAGGAAAAATATCTAACAATTAGATTTATTAGGTAAAATATATTGCAATTAGATCTACTATGCATGCATGCGCGTTGGATGATCCTAGCGCAGAATCTTTAGTTGTAACATTTCTTTAAAGTGATATACTTGACTGAAAGTCAATCTTTGTTTTTTAACATGACTAACATGTGAATCATCGCTGCGATGTAATCATTTTTTTGGAAGTATACGAAATTGACACGTCCAAGTTTGGAATACAAATACAAGAAACATGTTAATTAGATTAGATCTTTCAAAACAAGAAACATGACATGCTTATATAGATAGTCACGATACTCTCATAAGTCACTGTTTCGATTCACATAATGTATGCACTGTCAAGCAGTTAGCAGTCCTGTCACTACCTCTTGAGCTCCATTTTCCATAGATTGCTTTGTTGAACATGGAATATATGGAGCAAGTTGTTGAATTATTAATCTTGCTTGTGGCTGTCAATCTTAATTTGACATAGTCGTCCAAGGAAAATAAGCATACCGGGGTAACTTGTGGTGTAACCTAACCACTATTGAATTTAAGTGACAGTAGACAATGACCTATGAATTAATAATTCTCTGATTTGGCAGATAAAATTGCTGACAGAAGCAATGGGGATGTGGCAGTGGATTCCTACCATCTCTACAAGGTATGACTCATAATATATTCTTTTCTACAGAATATGTGTTCTGTATCTTAATGGAGTATGAAAGAATTTCAAGTACTGTAACACTCAAGTTGGTTAGGATCTTTATTCTATCAGCTTAAGCATAACGCAAGGCCCTTATATGTGAATTAAAACCTATCAAAATACAACTCCTTCCGTTTTTCAATTATAGACCATTTTAGTTTTTTTTCAAGTCAAACTTCTATGACGTTGATCAAGTTCATAGATAAATACACAACCATCTAAAACATCAAATTAGTTTTATTAAATTCTTCATGAAATATTTTTATAGTACATTTATTTAAACTTGTATAATGCTATATAACTTTTATAAAAAAAAATGTGATCAAAATTAGAGAATTTTGATTTATGATAAAACTGAAGTGACCTATAATTTGGAATGGGGAGTGGTACATTTCTGACCCATGATGGATGACTTTTAAAAAATGTAGGAAGATGTGCACATCATGAAGGGTATGGGGATGGATGCCTACAGGTTTTCAATCTCCTGGAGTAGAATTCTTCCAAGTAAGTGTGATCCAATATCCAGATATTTAATTTGCAAATTAACTGTTTTGGCCATATTCCAAAGTCCAAGGATATGAATTGCATAATGCTTAGACATCTGAATGTATTATGCTAAAAAAAAGACATCTGAATGTAATGATAGATGGAAGTCTGAGCGGTGGAGTAAACAGAGAAGGCATCAGATACTACAATAACTTGATCGATGAGCTTCTGTTGAAAGGTGTGCCATATGATTTTGTATATCTTTGCGAAACCTTGAAATTTACTTTCAATTCAAATTTGGGTTCTTAAGCCCTGTTCGCTTATCTTATAATCCGTCTTTTTAGCTTGTTTTTTCAGCCGGAACAGTGTTTTTCTCTCACAACAAATCAGTCGAAACAATGTTTTAGCTTGTTTTTTCAGCGAAGCGAACGGGGCCTTTCTTTTAAGTGAAAAAACACTTATATTTCCACCTAGATTGGTATAAGCTTTTATTAAAATAATATGCATACATGCTTATATATGTGTGTAGGGATACAGCCATTTGTGACCCTTTTTCACTGGGATTCACCTCAGGCGTTGGAAGATAAATATGGAGGATTTCTTAGTCCTAACATTATGTAAGTCATGATATTCTATCCACACAGGATGCAAGAACGAACGACGCGTTCTGCACTAACGTCACCGCTAAACAAATCTATCTATGACTGTCAGAAACGACTACAAGGACTATGCTGAGGTTTGCTTCAAAGAATTTGGTGACCGAGTGAAACACTGGATCACGTTCAATGAGCCCTGGACCTTCTGCTCAAATGGGTATGCGTCTGGCACGTTTGCGCCGGGCCGGTGCTCACCATGGGAGCAGGGAAAGTGCAGCGCTGGGGATTCAGGAACAGAGCCTTACACTGTCTGTCATCATCAGATACTCGCCCATGCAGAAACAGTCCGGTTGTACAAGGAAAAATATCAGGTCAGTGATGAACTCACCCATCCAGTTTCATTTCATCAATGAACAACAACTCAATTGAAACTATGCAATTCTGAGTTTCAGTTCATCAATAACCGAATGCCGAATGCAGGTGGAGCAAAAAGGAAATATTGGAATAACTCTAGTCTCACACTGGTTTGTGCCCTTTTCCCGTTCCAAATCAAACGATGATGCAGCGAGGCGTGCCATCGACTTCATGCTTGGATGGTAAATAACTAAATATAATTCTTTGTGCTCCTCACAGAATTTCATTATTGACCAAGTCTAGTCTAGAAGAAAATAAAGAACTCACTAGGAATAAGCATGAGACCATTGGTTGTCATTCTAGGTTCATGGACCCCCTTACTAGAGGAGAGTACCCGCTAAGCATGAGAGCATTGGTTGGAAACCGCTTGCCACAGTTCACAAAGGAACAGTCTGAGTTGGTCAAGGGTGCATTCGACTTCATTGGGCTAAACTACTACACTACAAACTACGCTGACAACCTTCCTCAATCAAACGGCCTCAACGTTAGCTATAGCACTGATGCCCGTGCTAATCTTACCGGTAAGTCATCCTAAAGTCAACGATCAATCTACTTCTGTTCATTTATCAGTTTGGTAATAATGAAGAGTATCACATCTACTTCTTCTGAAGAGCATAAATATATATGAGGCAAAACTCTGAAAAAGAAAAAGAAAACTCTTGCTTAATATGACGCTGTAGCATTTCTGACATAATACAACTATATAACATGAACCGTGCAATCTCTAGGCGCCATTACATTAAGTCATTTTACTTGACATCATTCCTCATTAGGATTTACAATTTGGTGTGAATGTGCATGCATTTCTACTGCACATTCTGTTGATATATTATATATACTAACTAACTAATCACGCGTCTGATGATTTGTTAGGTTTTCGAAATGGTGTCCCTATTGGTCCTCAGGTAACAACAGGTCTCACAAGCAACTTGGATTGTCTCCCATTTTGTTGTGGCTAAATGAACTAACGATTCATTTCCACGAATGGCACGTGTAGGCTGCTTCATCTTGGCTGTTCATATACCCTCGAGGCTTCCGTGAATTGCTGCTTTATGTTAAGGAAAACTATGGCAATCCTACCGTCTATATCACTGAAAATGGTAACTTCAGTGTTCCTGAAAGAGAGAGCTAGCTAGAAACGAAAGAAAGCATCTGAAAATCTGTTATCTGAAACTTTTAGGCGTGGACGAAGCCAACAACAAGAACCTCTCACTCGAGGAAGCTCTGAAGGACGACACCAGGATAGAGTTTTACCACACCCACCTTCTTGCCCTGCAAAGTGCCATAAGGTGGGAATGAACCACCAAAGCTGCAAATGCGCGAGTGTTGAATTACAGTAACTGCATCTGACTCTCAATGCAACTCACTGCAGGGACGGCGCCAACGTGAAGGGCTACTTCGCATGGTCGCTCCTTGACAACTTCGAGTGGGTGAACGGCTACACTGTCCGGTTCGGGATAAACTTTGTGGACTACAACGACGGGCTGAAGCGGTACCCCAAGAGCTCTGCACACTGGTTCACGAAGTTCCTCAAGAAATAAGCGTACATGGACTGCGATGCTGTTCTGTCTGGGGCAGCAAGAGTGTTGGTAGCATGTAAATCCAAACACAAATAAGAAGCACGATCACATTGGTGTTGTTGATCGTGTCCGCGATGTGTGTAATAATTTTCGAATTGTGTTGTGTGTTGTGAGATTGAGAAAATATTTTTTTTTTAGATAATGGAAGCAAATGTTCTGGCTTCATAATTCCTCAGTTGATGTGTTTGGTTTCTTGGCTTATTTCTGGCCTGGTTAGAATCCAAGTCTGTACAGCTTTAGCCTGTCCCGTAAGCCAAGCACTGGTTGTTTGGTTGCCTGTATTTATCTAAGCCAAATGACGTGTTTAGTTGCCTAGTTTGTTTCGCATAGGATCACCTCTTCTTCGTTGTGGGTAAGTTTACCTCGAATTTCATCAACCAGGTGCTGTGCACCCTCGGTGAGCAGCAGGAGCACGGCGGTAGCATTTTGGATTACAGTGCATTATTGTTTACTGGATATATCAGCATCTGTGGCGCAGCTGGGCTTAATAGCAAATTGGATTCATCCGAACAACTAGCCACGACAAGCAAATTGGATTGTATCCAGTTGCTACTTCTCCATGGACGAGAGCCGCCGCCACGACAAGCAAGCCGGCGTGGGCGTCGGCGGGCGGCAGAGGCAACGGCTGGCGCAGATGCTACTGCACACGTCTGCGCCGCCACCACCACCTCGGCCACCGCCTTCGTCGGCCTCGCCGGCCGCACCACCACCTCCGCGGTCGCCGTCTCGCACCACGAACCGCCTCCTCCTCGCGCTCGTCCTCGGGGCGCACACTACCACGAGCCGCTGTCATTCAGCTGGGCCGCAGTCGGCGACGGAAGCAGCAGCTGCCAGCGTCGGCGCCGCCGCCACCACCGACGCCACGACGCGCGGGCGCTCGTCCACATCTCCATCGACTGCTCCGCGCGCTTGTCGGTTGCCGCCGCCGCGGTCCTGTGATCTGTGCACAGATTCCCCACCGTCCCGACGCTCGTCGAGAAGTGCGCCCCGGTGTGCGCCGCCTCGGGGAAAGCCGGCGGCCTCCTTCGCGCTCTACCCCCCTCGCCGACGCCCTCGGCTGCGCCGACGCGTACGGCTTCCGCCCCATCCACACCCTCTCCATCCTGCTCCCCTCGGACCCCAGGCCCGCCTCCGCCCACGCCTCGCCGGTTGACCCCTCCGCGTCCGCCGCTCCGCCGAGGGAGCTCGGACCCCGGACACCACCGCGCAGGTCGGCAGCAGCGTTGCGCTGGAGTGCTTGCGGAGTAGGTGCGGCGCTGGAGTGCTTCGGCGGAGTAGTAGAGCAACCGTCTGGCGGTAACGAGACTTCAGCGGGCGGCTTAACCAAGCCTGGAGGGTGAGAAAGCCACTTCTATAAACAGTATGCTACTGGTGTCGGTGTCGAAAAAAAAAAAAAAAAAAAACCGCCCAATCCCTACGTTCTTCTGGAGCCAGGCCAGGGGGTCCAGAGTAACTGTTATAAAATATGTTGCTAGCGGTTAGAACCATTTTCTCTCCTTCTCTCATGATGAACATAGTAAGTATAAGTAGAAGAACAAATAGATATAAGATAAGGAGACTATTCTTTATTTCTCTAAATATTACTGATTACAACATAGAGTTTTCACGTATATATAGTCCTGCCAAGGCCTAAGAGTTTGGTAAAAGCCTACATACAAACGGATTAGGATTAAGATTCATCATTCTCCTTTCCTTCTAGATAGAGTCCGTATGATTTACAACACTCCTGTTTTAGCGATTACCACGATATGCACATGCCTCGTTAAAAACTTCATCCGAAAATCCAGCGGAAAAAACGGTTCTTGAAGAAAAGAGTACATCGCATTCGTTAATTGCATTACACATGTTGTCTCGTTAAAAACCTTGTGTGAGAAACCTTCAAGTAAAAACTCACATAGAGAAAAAGAGTACAACATTTAACCTTCTTGGTCATGTATTCTTCAGGATATTCTATTCTTTATAATAGATATTAATCTTCATAATCTACGCATAAACTTGGTGTTTTAGCAAATATTATCTACTTGATCTTTGTAATTTTAGTGGTTTACTTTCAAAGTAGATTCAATAAAAACATACTCCCCTCGTAAAGTCAAATTTTGAATTTCATTGTTCAAACCATACTTTTCATAAATGTGTGCTTAATTAATGGTATGTAGTATCACAATACTATATCTTTCAAAAGTTAGCTCATAATTCTTCTATGAATTATATGGGAACAAACAAGAGCAATATGCTTCATGCATAATAACCACTTATTAGTTGTGCAAAACAAATAAAATTTTATCCTTCAAAGTAATAAATCTTTTCAAATGATTATGGGGGTAAATAAGTTACAATATTCAATATCTTCTAGATAGTGCATCAAACTTATAGTAAAGTTTGAGTACTTATAATTCTTTCTTAGTGGATTTTTAAATTATATGTTCTACAAATCTTTAGGATTTTGATTGTATCATTAAATAATAAATCAAATCTTGCATTTGGAATTTAGGGGATAATCCAATTGCTAAAATCACCATTATTCTCATACCTTCTATGGTATTTAGAGGATATCAAAACTTTATTGCTAGCTTTACAATATACACTTTCTGAGTATTTATATGACACCTTCATAGTATTTAGGATTCCTCATTTTCTCTCTCGGGTCTACATTCATTTCAGGGATTAATGGTGTTTTTTTAAGAATCGACTGATAAATCCTTCATGGATTAAATCCTTCAAGGATGTTTTTATTCTTAGTGAATAACATTTCTCTTCTATGAAATATATTCTCTACTACACGAGAGATTATTATGTGATATACACAATGAGATAGTGTTATTCACTATAAAGTTATTCGATGACTCTATTCCTTCTAGGACATGCTCTTCTTGAGGCTTCAATATTCATACAGGAATATATATTCTACCTACTTCTTAATACTTTTATGAGATTTAATTTTCGTATATTACGATTTATATTCTTCAGGAATTATATGAATTTTTATAATCCACTTATTAACTGCATATTTCATATTCATTCATTTCA